GTCGTAGGGTCGTCGTCATACAGTCAAGGGAGAGTCTAGAAAGTACCAGTCCGGTCCAGCAAGTACCACGGGGGGGACTGTGTGCACCATGGGCCAGGGACACAGGGCAGACCAATGCAGCGCAGAAGTATAAATCAAGAGGCTGCGTCCAGCCATTCATTCATTCCGGCAGATGCCAGGCGGAAGCGCTGCCTTAGCAGCTTGTGCGAGGCGGTCTGCAGTGCGCCCGAAGACGAAGTGGGCAGAGAAGTGTAGTGTAGCGATAGGGTAGAGGCAGCTAGCGCTGCCATAGCTGTAACATGGTGTGTGTGTGTGTTGTGTATGATACTGAGTGTTGCGTGTGGGACATCCAGGGTGATCCAGAGTGCGAACAGTGAGTTGTGTGGGCGCCCAGTCGCCATAGCCAGTTSAAGAGAACTCATATCTGGTTACGATATCTTGAATACTGTGTGGGCGCATGTCGCCAGTTGCTGTACCGCTGTTTGCAGGCATGACAAAGTGGGAAGAAGACGAGTTTGATTGCACGACTCATCAGGAGGCTGAATATATATACATGTATCATCATAGAAGACATGAATAATATTTATAAAAATAACTGAAGCAAGGCAAGAAAACAAAAAAGAAAAGGGAAGGAAAGGAAAGGGGAAAAAAAAAAACAGAAGAAAAGAATGTGAGCGACCACCACCACAAATAGAACGGGAATCTTGTTTCTTTTTTTTCTTCTTGGATGGGGGCTACGGAATCTTGCCTGCAGGGCAGAGAGAACCTCCTCTTCAGAAATAGGGCTTGCTGGATTATTGGCTTGATCGTCCCAGCCTGCTGGTCTCACCATCTCTATGTCCTGATCATCCAAGAAATTTAGACTGCACGCACCCACCGCCGCAGACCTGATTCAGTCCAATCCAATCCAATCCAACCCAATCCAAACCAGTCCCGTCCACAATGCAATGCAATCCAGTGGGCTGCCAGGGTTGTAGTTGTTTTGCAGCCTTCGCCAACCGCCATTCGACATCCTCCTATTCGTTGATGGCGGCCTCTCTGCCAGCTTACTTCGGCCGCCTGCCCTGTGCGCCTGGAGCCTCATCCTGTCGTCCTCCTCCTGCCTCCCCCTCCTCTTCTCTCTTCAGTGATTGGACACGGCGACATATGAGACAACAAATCGTGATTTTTTTTTTTTTGTTTCCCCGGAGAGCCAGGGAACTAGCGGAAAGTCAAAGGCGTGCATTTCTCCTCCTCCTCGTCCTCGTCTCCTCCTCGTGTCGCTTCTCCTCAACCTCGTCATTGTCCTGTCTTCCTCCTTTTGGAAATGGTTTCCACACCCACACCTGCGCCCCTCCCCGGCCCCCCCCCGAAAGGCGGGAAACTTGTGGAAAGGCGATGGCATGCATCTCTCTCTCCTGTCCTCCATCCCTCCTCCTCCACCTCGTTGTTTTCCGGTCCTCCTCCTTTCTCCTCTACTACATATCTCCTCCTCCCCCTCCCTCCCCCTATCTCCTCCCTTCAGTGATGATTTTTCTTTTTTTTTTCCAATCAAAGGCAGGAATCTGCAGGAAAGTCAATGGCGTGCATCTCTCCTCCTCCTCCTGCTATCCTCCCCGTCTCTCCTCCTCCAACCTCGTCATTATCCTGCCCTCCTCCTTTCTCCTCTCCTCCATCTCCACTTCCTCCTCTTCCTCATCCAGCCGTCCCCCGTCCTCTCCCCTTGTCATTGGACTGGGCAAGATATGGGACATTCCGAAATAGCAAAGGCGGCAAATTGCACCGTTTTTTGCTTTTTTGACACTTGGGTTTCGACAATTGCATGCTCCCCGTTTCTCGTCTCCATCATCTCACGTCCTCCTCCTCTCTCCTCTTCACCATCATACGTGCTCCTCCTCCTCGTCCTTCCACCTCCTCCTCCCCTCCCCCCTCCTCCATCTCTCCGCCTCCTCACCGTCCTGTCCTCATCACCTCTCCTTCTCCTCCTGTCTCATCTTGCCATATCTCCTCTTGTCTCTCCCTATCTCCTCCTCTTCCTCCTCCTCCTCCCTTGTCCCAGTATGTCCGGAGGTGGTACACAATCAAAATGTTTTTTTTTTCTTTTGCCGG